ATTTTAGTGCATTGTGACCCAAAGAGGCTTTCTCGGTGACATGAAATAGCCTGAATCCATGGCATGCCCGGCCCGGATTTCAGATTGACTTGCTGCCATAAGAAGGAGCCCTCGACCGGAATCTCCATTATCGCATCACATCGCAGCTTTAAAGAGTCCGTCCAATATTGTCGCCTCCGCCGAGTTCGCCGAAAGAACATCCGCCGCCACAGCGTGCTACACCTGAGCCGGAAGAACATCTGCCATCCGGACGTGCTACACCAGAGGTATGTATCAGCTTTTGCCAAATTATTCTGTAAAATTTTCGTTTACAATCCTAAAGTACCGTTCTCCTTGGTCTGGTCTGAAAGATTAATATCTGTGTAGATAGTTTTCAGTGATTGAAAATATTTGAGATGGGCTGATCTTTTAGTTCGTTTGGTGTCAGTAAGTAGATGTTTTGTACAAAAAATCAGTGCTCCAGATTACAATTGCTTCATATATAATACCAAATATATTTTATGTGCTTCCTGCTAGAACACAGTGAACACACTTCAGACTTTCAGAGGTCCTTTTCCTTGGGGCGTGAGCTGGTGATTTCATGTTTTTTTAACCCCCTAATTTTGATGTTTTAAAGTCGCAGAGTTAGTGAAGTTTGGTAGCTTATAGCTTGACAAGTGAGCTTAAAAGTACACTTACTGTTGTGGTGATACAGAAGCTCTTGTTTCTGTTCTTTTTGTCTATGCCCTTTACTCGGTTCTGCCGAGTATGTATATATAGAAAATATTTATTCTACAGAAATTATTAATTGTTACTGTAGCTTTCATGCCTACCAGACCAAATCATAGGTAGGTGCTTTGTTTGTCAAGTGAAGTAAATCAAATTGTTATAGTAGGAGGATTATCCTAATATAAGAGCCTTTATTTGTTTCATAGAAATCATGTACAGTTGGTTCAGACAACACTTGTTGTTGTTAAGATCAAGTTCAGTTGCTCTTGCATTCTTAGATCGATTTGAGTTTCTACACCAAGCCTAGAGCTTAAATGTTAAAAGGCACATTCTGATTTTATAAGGAGCATTCTAACTGTTAGTTTTAAAAACAGATTCTGCTATTTTCTGAAACGAAATATAAGAAATCAAACCGTATGGTTCTCCATTTTTTATGTACTCAATTCAGATATACCAAAAGTACTATTATGTTGGCTGCATTTAGTTTACATGAGCATGCCAAGCTAGATGATATTATAGTCCTTTAGGTGTTGCTATTCACTATTCTCGGCCACATCTTATAAAAGCATAGATAAGCTAACACCTCTGTACCAAATCATATAATTATCCACATCATTTCAATAAACTCAACCTTTTTCCCATGTCTAAAGTTATCTGGGAAGATTGCTCTAACTGTTTTGAGTGTGTGCTCTTGGCAGTAACTTCTGAAAATACTCAAATACTGACAGTGATATGTTTTTGAGACTTTTTACGGTACATCATACTACCCAAAATAATGGATAGTATTTAGTTGATCCAATGGTCATTATGGATCGGTTAAATTTTTTCTTTAGGATATATTGATAATTCCTTATTAGAGGTAGATTTGTTCTTTAATGGTGATAATCTAATTAACTAAATTAATCCCATCACACCCGACGCCGTGTGGTTCGCATGCGTGCTAGTTTCTCGAGGATCTCAATCAACCCACTTGTCCTTGTGTATTTGTGTCGCGTTTCGTTCTGCATTCTTTGGAAGACATAAATTTCTTGCGCTAACATTCAGTTCTTCCCTGGTAATGTACTAAGCTTCAGCCCGCACGGCTCATGTGTTCTCTGCTGACATGGAGACGCTTCATGGCCGGCTGGACATGGACGACGGTAATGAGAAGGAACCGTTTTGTATGAAAGCGTTGAGCCTCATCGAGCTGATGGACGAGTAGACGACAGGGCGAATCAAGCTGGAGATTGACGCCATGCTAGTGTGTGGCCCTGAACCAGGAGCCCGCGGTGTCACTGCGATATATGCTCGAAATCGACTTCAACTACTCCTCACCTCAGGCCACACCATACAAGAACACGCGGCAAGCATCGGTGTTTAGAGCATCTTCAACAGGTGCGGCAAAAAATGCGCCCGCGCGATAAAATTTGGTTTTAGCGCGCGCCGGCTGGTTCCGCGCACTCCAGCGGTGGCGGGAACTTATCGCGCGCGGGAAGCGCTTGCGCGCGCGCGGGAGAAAGCGGCACGCGGCGCGGTAGATTTGGCGCGCCGCTTCGCGCGCGCCTATAAAATGCCGCGCTCGCCACGCGCACAGACACAACCACGCGCCCTCCCCTCGCAACCTCGCCGCTTCGCCACCTCGCCGCTTTCCGCGTCACCATCGCGCCACCATGCCGCCGCGCCGCCGGGGTTCTTCGGGCTACTGCGGCGTCCGCGAGCGCCCCAAAGGCTGGTACTCCGCCGAGATCCGGTCCGGCGACGTCCGGCTCGGCCTCGGGTCGTTCCGGAGCGCGTACGTGGCGGCGTGGCGCTTGAATAGGCCCCGGTCGCAGATGAACTTCCGGGATGTCTTCACGCGCGAGCAGGCGCAGCGCGTCGCCCCTCCGCCGCGTCTCATCACTGACATGGACCGTGCCAACCACGCTCGGCGCTGCCGCCGCCTCCTCATCGCCGAGGAGGACGACTGAGCCATGGCGGAGTGGCGCCGTCGCCACCTGGAGGACGTCGCCGACGAGCGTGCCTACTGGGCGGAGAGGACGGCAAGGCGCCGCGCGGAGCGGGCGGACCGGCGTCGGCGGAAGGCATTGGCGAATGCGCAGTGCGATATCGTTGAAGCAGGTGGGAGGTCGATCTTCACGTCAGACGATGAACATTGGGACGACATATGGCTCGATACCTCGGACAACACCGACGAGGATGGTGATGATGGTAGCAACTTGGAGTAGTTTCTATCTATGTATGCCGTAGTAGTTTCTATCTAGTTGCACCGTAGTTCTATCTATCTATGCTTTCGAACTATCTATCTAGTTGCATCGATGTAAAATACCTTTGTATCATTTTTTATCTATGCAATTTATCGTTTTTTATTATCTTAATATTTATCTATACTTTCGAAAATGTTGTAAAAATGAGCGCGCGTGCTGCATTTTCGCGCGCTGCTGGAGCGGCGCGCGCGCGCTGTATCTTAGCGCGGCTGCTGGAGTCAGCGCTGCGCGCCGTGCCAAATCAGGCGATGGACACGCGGCAAAGCTGTTTTTTGCGCGCGGCGCGTTCGGCGCCTGTTGGAGATGCTCTTAGTTCCTCCCGAAAAGATTCACGGGGAGTAATCCTACTGCTCGTTACGGGAGGGCACTTGGATGAGATAAGTGCTTGACCAGGGAAAGACAAGGACCAACAACCCTCATGTAACAATATATGGCAACGTATCAAGTGAAAACTTGATTTCAGTGAAAATCTGAAAACTTTGATCCCACCTCGTTGGATCTGTAGGGAACGGCATCTGCTCAAAAGTGGAGCTCCACCGGCAATTAAACACACATTAGCACAAAACCCCCTCTCCTATTCACCAACTAGGGCCATAGTCCCTGAGTGTTCGTGAGATGGATTCGTCTTCAATCCTGTCATTGGTCACGATGGAGCCTCAACCGCCGGCTAGCCCTTGCCTTACGCCGGCTGCAATGAGACCTCCGTCAGCAGCGACTTGCCCTCCACCGGCCTCGATGGGTTCCCCATCGGCTGCGACTCTCCCTCCACCTGTCTTTCTGGCACCATGATTTGTGTTTCGCTGATCGCAATGGCCGATGGGGCCGCCGTCGGCGGCGGCTCACCCCCTGCAGGCCGTGACTGACTCACCTCGCGAGCTAAAAAGTCACTGAGAAAATTCTATACATCAAGAATTAGGAGGAGCTACAACTTCACTCTGAATCAGATACTACCTACACGGGATTTACACGAAAATTGCAGCACGAGCGTTGGGACCCCAGCTCGAGATGAGCTTCAGCGCCTGCGCCGCAATAGCTATGAGCCCAGCCTGCTGTAGTCGCCTCACCTCGCGAGCCCTCCCCGCTGAGGGGAGCTTCAATGTGAGCGCTGGTTGTGGCCGCCTCGTGGCTGGAGCCGTCCTTGCCGAGGGATGCCGGCGCGGTGCATGGACGCGCCTCTGCTTTTGGCAGCGCCAGCTGTGGCGCCGCGCCGGGGCAGCCCTCCAGCGTGGGGCGCAACGGCGTCGCCGCCATGGCTATTTTGCTGCGGGATAGGACGGGGAGGGGATAAGCCAATGGTCAAAAACCTGACAACATTACTAGGAACGAGGGGGTTTTGTGCTAATGTGTGTTTAATTGCTGCGGGATAGTATAATTTGTCTAAGATTTATAAATATGTAACATAAAATTATGACATGATACAAGTTTACATTCTGACACATTGTTAAAT